GTGCTCTATGTGCATGTGTGCTCTCTCTATATGTACATGTGTGCTCTCTATGTGCATGTGTGGTCTCTCTATATGTACATGTGTGCTCTCTATGTGCATGTATGCTCTCTCTATATGTACATGTGTGCTCTATATGTGCATGTGCTCTCTCTATATATATGTGCACACTTAACATATATATGATTTAGGTTTGCTCTTTAAAAGTTCTTAATTTGTGTGTGTGTGGTGGGGAGGGGACAAGTGTGCACACGGCAGCCAGAGGCTGATGACTGGAGTTTTCCATGGTCACTCTCAACCTTATTCTTTGACGCAGGGTCTCTCACAGAACTGGGAAGGAGCTCATCAGTTCATAGGCTGGCTAGCCAGTGATTGCCGGGGATCTGCCTGTCTCTTCCCTTCACACCAGCTTTTTACATGTGTGCTAGGGACCTAAACTAGAATCTCTCCTTTCTCCTTTTCTCCTTCTCCTTCTCCTTTTCCTTCCTCCTTCCTCCTTCCTCCTTCCTTCCTCCTTCCTCCTTCCTCCTTCCTCCTTCCTCCTTCCTCCTTTCCCCTTTCCCCTTTCTTCTTTCTCCTTTTCCTTCTCCTCTTTCTCCTCCTCCTCCTCCTCTTCTTCCTCTTCCTCCTCTTCTTCCTCCTCCTCTTCTTCCTCTTTCTCTTCTTCCTCTTCCTCTTCTTTTTTCTTTTAAGGTAGGAATACCTTTTATTTTTTATCAACACAATCTCTTTTAGACAAATAAGTCATATTTTTGGATATTTCTTTGCCAGGACTCTGCAACACTCATATCTTGTCCTTCCAGTGAAGGAAGATAAGCTTTTACATGTGTCTTACTCAAACACTAGGATAACCATACAAACTTAGGTTTTACGCTGGTGCGGCAGTTGCCATATCAACCAAACCATTTCTCCAGCCTCTGTACCTGCTTTTGAGACAATCTCACTGAACAGCCAAAGTTGATCTTCAAAACTTGGATCTTCCTGCCCTAGCCTGCTGAGTGTTGGGATAATAGGTCTACGTTATGGTACGCCTTTGTGTTGCATACATGTATTGTTGCAAGTATTGTTGCTCTTTTGTCATGTTGTAGCTGGAACCCAAGGCCAGGGATACACCAGCAAGCACTTTGCCAGCAAGACACTTCTCCCGCCACACCACGTACTGTAGAATATTTTCCCTTTCTCTTCCCTGGGGGTTGAATCCAGAGTCTCACCTAGGCTGGGCAAGCGCTCTATCCCTAACTCTATTTTTTGTTTTCATGAGCAAAAGCCTTACTATGGAGCCCAGACTGTCCTTGAATTCATGTGAGTTCTACCGCCCCAAATTCCCAACTGCTGGGATTATAGGAGGAACACCCAGCTTTAAAACGTTGGAATGCTTCACTTCGGGGTGACTGCTGTCTGAACTCATATATGAATTAGCAATGGGTTCTTACTTCAGGACCTAGATTTCCCCCAAAATAAACTAAGTCACTGAACTACTCTAGTGGGAGATGTTCAATTTACTAAATTTTTAATGTTGAATGTTAAATAACTCTGTGCCCCAAAAGTGGAAATACAAACTCCAAAGGCACCCCTTCACTGAAACATCCCCATGGTTAAATGGGAGTCTGATTCAACACAATGTGAAGACATGGAGCCTTGCAAGCACCTCCTCTCAGGTATAGTATAAGAACCAAACGCCTGCCACCTCACTAAACTCTGCGTGTTTATTGTCTATCTGTTGTTTGAGACAAGCTCTCATCTTACAGCCCTGTTTGGCCTGGAACATGATATTTAGACCAGGCTGGCCTTGAACTCAGGGATCTGCCTGCCTCTGCCACCTGAGTGCTGTGGTCAAAGGTGCACATCACCACCGTCTGGCTTGTATATATATTTTTTAAAGGCTTGGCTTCACTCTGTTGCCCAGGCTGGTCTCAAACTCATGGGCTCAGTTGAACTTACCAGTTCAGCTTCCCAGGAGTTGGGGCTGTGGGCAGACGCCACCAACTGCCTACCCAAGCTATCAAGTTACAGTGTGGAAAGAGCAAGCCACTATTCTTTGCCTAGTACCAGCAGCAACAGATCTGAGGACAGAATTCTAAGCTGACCTCTCTAGAATGGCTATGCTCCCGGTGTAACTGCTGGTTTAATGTTAAATGATGATGTCCGTAGGTCTGGGAAGAGAAATACCGACCACTGCTGAGTTCATCTGCACCAGGTAGTGAGTGTAAACTAACCTCACACCAAACACCCCCTTTGCTTATTCCTCTGTACTGCAGGAGAAAGCCAAACCAGGAAGACAGAAGATGTGACTAATGACCCAGTGATCAGAGTGCCCGAAACCTTTACTCACTGTGACCGGATGGAAGCAAGAGATTTTCTGAGGGTTGACTGAATATCTAACTGCAGCATCTTGGGAATATCTGGGTACCCACCCAGCTGGGCCCAGAGTACACTCATGGGTGCCTTCTCTATTATTGGGTAGCTTGACGTAGACAGCTCCGAGTTCCACACGGCCTCCACCGGAGCTTGTCTGTAGAGGCAGAGAGAGCAGCAGCATGAAGACCAGTCAAAACACACAAGCCTCACATACCACAGCATCACCCTGTCCTGCACTGCCTTCCAGTGCCCCAGGGAGCCCTAGGTGTCCCCATGGAGCCCTAGCTGTAGCCACCCAGGCAGAGATACGGGGAAGGCAGAGTTTGCTGATGTAGTTACCAAAACACCTCTATGGCCTAGTCATCCATTTTCATGATACCTTCTTAGCTTTGTGAAGTACACAGACCAAGTACCTTTTCCTTCTAAAGCTTTTGCCTTCTAAAAAAGGAGAGACAGAGACAGAGAAGGAGGAGGAGCAGAAAGAAGAAGAGAGAGAAAGAGAGAGAGAGATGATAGATAGTGGTGAGAGACCAGGGGATAGAGGACAGAGGGAGAGAGGAAGAGAGAGGAGAGATGAAAAGGAGAGAGAAGAGGAAAGAGAGGGAGAGAAAGAAGGAACAAAGAAAGGAGAAATATTCTTTAAATAACTTGCTTCTTAATAAGGAGTATCTTTAACATCTTTGTCACATGTTATTTGTTCTGCATGTGTGTGGGAACCTGTGCCTGGACATGCGTGTTGAGGGCAGAGGACAACTAATGCTGGTCAGTCTGGTTCTCTTCTCCCGTTGTAAGTCTCCGGAGTCAAGCTCAGGCACATGAGCCTTCACCCCTCGGCTGTCTATCTCTCTGACCCAGCAGCATTAAGCAACAACAACAACAAATTTATTATATTAAGAGAAAGAGAGGCAGGGGAGGAGATGTGGACATCAGAAGATGGCGTGTGGAGTTGGTTGTCTCCTCTGTGTGGGTTCTAGAGCTTGAATTCAGATCCCTGGGGGTGCCCAGTGAACACACTTATCTGCTAAGCCATCTTGTTTCATTTTTTAAAAAGGAACTCAAAACTAAATGTTAAACATTTAGGCAGAAATATAAGTAAATAAACCTTGCTAGGCCAAGCAAAGTTCATGACGGATAACTTTAAAATCCCAGTGCTTAGGAAGCAGAGGCAGGAGGATCTCTGGGAGTTCCAGGCCAGCCAGGGCTATGCAGTGAGACCCTGTCTCAAAACAAACAAAACCCCAAACAGAACAGAACATCTTGCTAGGTTAACCGAGGAGACAAGCTCCATCATAGTCTCCCTGTACCGTGTCCCAACTGTGGGGGAAGGAGAACCCTTGGGTAGAACTGAAATATTTTTAATTAAAACAATAAAGTATTAGATAGCACTTACAACCAAGACAAATTTTTTTGTTTTTTGTTTTTTGTTTGTTTGTTTGTTTGTTTGTTTTGTTTTTTGTTTTTTTTTTTTTGGTTTTTCAAGACAGGGTTTCTCTGTGTAGTCCTGGCTGTCCTGGAACTCACTCTGTAGACCAGGCTGGCCTCGAACTCAGAAATCCGCCTGTCTCTGCCTCCCAAGTGCTGGGATTAAAGGCGTGCGCCACCACCGCCCGGCCAACCAAGACAAGTTTAACATCATTCCGTACATACCGGAGTGTTTTGAAAAGGTCGGATCTTTTGCTGTCATCAATTAATAACTCCAAGACTGGCCGTTGAAGTTTGGTAAACTCAGGTATCTTCTTAACGCTGGGAACTGAGGGCATGGGCTGGCTAAGATTTACTTTAAATGCCCTTTCAAGCTACAAAATGAAACCAGCAACAACAAAAACAAGTTTAGAGATACAGGGAAAAAAAAAAAAAAAGAAGGCACCATATTATTCCTTAGTCTGAAGTGTAAAAGGGAGAATCAGGAAGAGAAAAGACAGAAATTATAGGAAGTTCTGCTTTGGATCTAGACAATAGCATACCTATGCACCCCCACCCTCTTATTTCTTCTGGAGGTTGAGGGGATCTGAGATAGGACAGCCTGAAACTGGCTGGGTACACAGCTCAGCCTGGCCTTGAATTCGCTGTCCTTCTGCTTCCCCTCATGAACGGAGCCTTCTCCCTTCCCTGTCCTTTCTTTATGCCTTGATACTTCACCCCCTCTATTCAACTTTCCTGACGCTGCACCCCTTCAATACAGCTCCTCATGTTGTGCTGACCACCAACCAGGAAACCATGTTTGTTGCTACTTCATAACTGTAATCTTGCCACTCTCATGAATTGTAATGTAAATCTCTGTTTCCCAGCGGTCTTAGGCAACCCCTGTGAAAAGGCCATTGGACCCCAATAAGGAGTCTGAACCCACAGGCTGAGGACCACTGCTTTAGAACCTGAGTTGCCTTTGAAATGTCTGGGACACTGCTCTTCCTGTCAGATGGCTTATGTTCCTGACACCCCATCTTTCTCACTTCATCTATAAAGAGCACATTTATTGGCCGGGCGGTGGTGGCGCACGCCTTTAATCCCAGCACTTGGGAGGCAGAGGTAGGTGGATTTCTAAGTTCAAGGCCAGCCTGGTCTACAGAGTGAGTTCCAGGACAGCCAGGACTATACAGAGAAACCTTGTCTCGAAAAACAAAAACAAAGAAAAAAGAAAAGAAAAAACAAAAAACAAAAAAAAGAGCACATTTATTAAATCAAAAATTGGAGGGTTTTATTTGTTTTATAAACATCTATGATATTTAAAATACAATTGTTATGAAGAATTTTAAATATTTTATTTTAATCTGGTAATAATCAGAGAAGTCTATTCTATTCAAATAAACAGATAAGAAAGTCTTGGAAATTAATCTTTTTTTTTTTTTAAGACAGGTCTTACGAAACGCTGGCCAACCTGGAACTCATTATGGAGCACAGGCTTGCCTCTATTAATAAATATTAACTAGCTGGGCCATGGTGGTGCACATCTTCGATTCCAGTACTCAGGAGGCAGAGGCAGGCAGATTTCTGTAAATTTGAGGTCAGCCTGGACTATAGTGAGTTCAAGGAAAGCCAAGACTACATAGAGTAACACTGTCTCAAAAAAACAAAAGTTGCCGGGCGGTGGTGGCACACGCCTTTAATCCCAGCACTTGGGAGGCAGAGGCAGGCGGATTTCCGAGTTTGAGAGTTCGAGGCTAGCCTGGTCTACAGAGTGAGTTCCAGGACAGCCAGGGCTACACAGAGAAACCCTGTCTCAAAAAAAACCAAACCAAACTAAACCAAACCAAACCAAAAAACCCCAAAAGTTAAAGGAAAAAGGATATAGAGATAATAGAATGTCTAGCTTGTGGTATTTAATACTATAACAGAACTGGTGTAGTGATGAACGCCTTTCAATCCAGCACTTGGGAGGCCAGCTTAGCCTGCATAGCAAGACCCAGGCTAGCCAGTCTTTAAAAAAAAAGTATTCGTAAGGAACATATCTTAAAAAACCCGCTTTGTGAATTGGAACTATTGTAATGCCTGAGCTTGCCTGCCACCTGGCGGCTCTAATAGAAGCCGGGCCACCACCCACGCCACCCCCAGCCCAGAGAGGAGCTCTTAGCCTGGACGCGCCAGTGAACTCACCCCAAGGCATGAGAGCGCAGATCTGCCGCCCAGTGAAATGCTACAAAAGCTAGGACTTTGGGAACCGACTTTAGGATCTCACTGCGGTGCTCCCTAGACAGAGCCCTGTTGATAGCCATGAGTAAGAGGACTTGAGTCTGTGCGTGGCCTCAGTGACCGTTGGACTTCCGGCGCTGTCGCTGGCCGCACACATACTCGCCTGGCAGTGCCAAAGATCGCCATCAGTGCCAACTTCCCAGCCTGCCTCAGCGGAAGGACTTCCCGGAGGACACGGGTGGAGCTCAGAAGCATCCTCGCCGGAGAAGATTCCCCCGTGGAACTCTACAGCAGCATTTCTGCCCAAACAACTGGCCTCCCGCTTGGTGAGATGTCCGCTTAACTTTTATATTAGCGTGATATTATAAGGACGGTTCGTGTGAATAAACCGACCATGTTCGAAAGACAGATCTGATGTGGACGTCCTAACTGCCAAGGCTGCTCCCATAGGCCTTCCTCTTCAGTGTTAACACAACTGTAGCCTTTAGGGCTGGAGAGGTAGCGTTCTCCCTGGGATCAAGCAACGTTAATGCCAAGGGGCAGAGCTTACAACTGCCTGTAACTTCTCCGGGTGCCCTGATGGCGCCTTCTTACCTTTGCAGGCACCCAATGTTCGCAAACTCGGAAACAAAAAAACCTGTAGCTTGTGCTCACAATCTCTACTCCCAGGTCTGAAACTTTTAAAAACACTATTGTTACTTCCAAAAGCATGCTGGCGCCGTCTCAGAAGGGACTCCAGAGGTCGGTGCCAGAATTTACCGGGATCTTTGTGCAGGGTATGGTGTAAGCAATTTAAACTTGTAGCTCCTTGTAAACTCGTGGTTTAAAACTGGCCTCTTAACGTTCTGAGGAAAGAGTAACCGGCCATAATCAGTCAGAGAAGCCAGCTGTGTAGCTCCTACTTGAAATCCCAGCACTTGGGAAGCTGGGGCAGAAATATTGGGGGGAGTTCAAGTTCAGCCTACTCTCAAAATACAGTAACAGAACAAAACCAAAGAGGAGTGACAGGAGAGGCTGTCAGCTGACTAGGAAGAAAACAGTTAATCTGCTCCAAAGCCTCTCTTGTTGCAAAGCTGTCATCAA